AATAGGCAATGGCGGTGGTACGCTTAGGGGGGAGTTTTTAGTCGGTAGGCGGCCGTCACGGTGCGTCCCTGTGGTACCTTGGTATCACAGGGATCACGGGACGGTCGAATCCGGCACTCCTGACGGTACGGGCCGTCGGGGGTCTTCCCCTTCCCGATGGGTGTCCCGAAAGGGTCCCCCTCGGGAAGGGATATAAGAAGATTTTCTCCTCCCACGTAAAACAAAAAAAAAAAGGTTAGGTTAGGCTCTACGCGGAGATCATGCGGGTCGCTAAGAATAGGATAAACCTGGAGGACATGGGCATTACCGACGTCCGGCCCAGAAGAGCCCGCACAGGGGCTTTCGTACTCGAGATTCCGGGCGGGGCAGTAGGCACTGCGAAAGCAGATGTCTTAGCGACCAGGCTGCGTAGGGAGCTGGCCGATAAGAAAGATGTCCTCATCTCCAGGCCCATGAAGATGGCGGAGATGAGGATAAAGGACCTGGAGGATTCTGTCACCCTGGCCGAACTGGCCACCCATGTGGCCACGGTCGGAGGGTGCAATCCCGTCGATATCAGGATGGGGGAGATTAGGAGACCGCCCAAGGGATTGGGCACGGTCTGAGCGAGGTGCCCGCTGCATGCGGCAATCCGCCTCACCCAGCAAGGGAGAACCACAGTCGGATGGACGACGGTAAGAACGGAGCTCCTTCCCGCCCGGGCGCTCCAGTGCTTCCGGTGTCTCGAGATGGGGCATGTGGGGGCGGAGTGCTCGGGGGAGGACGGATCGTAGCAGGCTCAGCTACCGCTGCGGGACGGAGGGGCATGTGGCAAAGTCGTGCACTGCCCCGGTGAAGTGCGCCGTATGCATGGACGCCGGCCTGCCGGCGAACCACCGGATGGGGGGAGGGCGTGTCACCCCTCCCCCTCCTCCCGCGGGAGGAGAAAAGGACGGATCCCTGCAGCTGTTGCAGGGCCTAGGGCAGGACTGCAGGAGGAAGCCGAGACGGGGCCCTGCATGGGGCCGACCCCAGTGGGGGAAGACACACGCATGGAGGTGGAGGTAGTTGCATCTGCTCCTACCCCGAGGGACAATGGGCGGGGGGACGGCGGGGCTGTATTACCAAGCGGGGGCTCCCCTCCCGCAACGGACCAAAAGCGGGGTGCTCGAGTCTGCTAGTCAGGCTCGGGCGCAGTAGTGGTAACCGGGTGACAATGCTATCGCCCGGACGTAGTCGGGCTCCACAACCGGACAACTGTGCCCACGCACCGTGGGGCGCAGAGCGGGGGCTCTGCACCCCTCTCAACGGGTGCCGGGCTAGGCGGCGGAGGGAGGTGGTGTCTCCCTCCGCCGTACGATAGATTCGGACGGGGCGCTATTGCGCCATGGCGTCGAGTTGGTCCGGTAGTACTGCACATGCGAAGATCCCGGACCAGCCTGACACAGCGCCTCGGACAGGACACTCGCTGGGGTTTTAGTGGGTAGGCCCCGCCCGGTTAATTCCGGGCGGGGAGAGTCCCACATAGCCCGGGTTACTTCCCGAAGGCCCGGGTATGCGTAACGCATTTCCCCAGCGTAACAAAAAAAAAAAGGTTAGGTTGTAGCCGGACTCGAAGCTTGTTAGCGTTATTCGGTCCCGCTTCTTCTTGTATGTCCCGGTCGCCACTCCTTTTTACCTTCCAAAGGAGAAGGTTCGTTCAGCTGGCCTTGGAAGCCGCCAGCCTCGCTCGTCCCCTGCACCACTGAGTCGACTCGACCCGAGTCATCTCGGTCGCAGAGGGAAAGGTTTTTCGTCGAATAACAACTCACTGTTTGCAGGCAACTAACACTATTCGTTCTATTTATGAGATTTTAGCAATTCGTATTTACATTTGCTGGCGTGATGCCGTACCTGGGTGATTGCGCCGGACACGCACGCCTATCGTTTTACACAATGCTCGCGCTTATTCGTATAACCCCGGACTCTTCGCGTGGGCGTGAACCCCCGTTCGCTCTAACGGTCGCTGCTGTTGGACTCGTCTCGGAACGGTCCCGCTCGCCACTACCGGAACGCCGCCGGTCGCCTCGGTTTCTCCCGTGGACAAAAATCCCCGAAGACGAAATTGACAATGCCTCCAAGTAATGTCCCACTCATCCGCGCGCTAACTACTTTCCGCTCGTATCACTGCTCCCAGTATCGAGAACTTCTCTCTTTGGTTACCAAGCAAAATCAGCCCCTTTCGCTTCTTCGCTCGCCCTCTTATTCCTATCGCTCGTTCCCACTCTCGCGCTTGCGTCTGCGCGTTGTCGCTTGGCGCTGTACGCGCTCGCGTTTGCGCGTTCGCTTTGCGCGCTATCAGCGCTCACGCTGCTAGCTTATGTTATCTACTTACGCCCCCGCATTATACAATTTTATCGTTTTTTTATTCTAATCCTTTTCTTTTCTTTTCTTTTCAGGTACTCGTTGACTCTGAAGGATGCTGCCTCTGGAGGTCTCCCGCTGGAGTCATCGGTATATAATCTAAAATTTATTTACAGGTTTGCGAAATCCCCCGGCTGCACCCCCCTTTCTATGTACAGTATTTACATTAGTAAGTATCAGTCTTTTCGATGTCGCAACGAAACTTAACGTACACCCTGTATAGCTCTCGGGTCCGTATTCGGTGGACATGTTGTTTTCTCGACCCTATTGGTCATAGCGGACGCGTTTTCCGATATCTTCAAGTTCACTACGCCATAACAGGATTTAGGGTACACCCGGTATGTTGCGTATGTCGATATGTGGTAGTCCCGCTTCTCCTATGTACTACGCGTCAATAGCGGTCGCGATTTCCGATATCTCAAAATTCATTATGTAAAAACAGTATTTCGGGTACACCCGGTATATTTTATACGCTCGCCTTCGAGTATTCCGCTCCTAATGCGTCCTAGTCGTTAATAGCGGTCGCGTTTTTTGATATCTTAAAATTCGTTATGTTATAACAGTATTTTGGGTACACCCGGTATATCTTTTGGACCTAGAATTGGCTCCCGTATTACTTTCTCGTCCTAATTGTACATAGCGGTCGCGTTTTCCGATCCCGCCGTTATTTTTGTATTAATTTTCAATTTCCGGGACCGCCTATTTTTCCCGGTCCTGATTGCGTTTTGCCGTTTCGCGTGCTTGTACCGCGTTTATTTTAGACGTTTCGGTTTTTCCGAAACTATTGAGGCTATGTGCCCCTAACTAAACTAAATATGCTCCTTTTTGTTAGCCTTTTATTCTAGGCCTTGGCATCTATTTGTTTGCCGACGATATGAACGAAATAAAAAGAATCCGTAGGTAATAGTATGTGAATAGTACTATATCTAACTATATAATATGCTAATAATAATTTTTTTTGTTTCGTTTTTATCTTTTTTGTCTTATACCTAATGGACTTACTCGCTATATATTTACATTTGCGGGGTTTTCTCTCCCGCGCGTCAGCTCCGCAGAGGCCGAATCCGGGGCGACTGGCGGAGGCTCCCTCCGGCTGCAAGGTTAGGCTAAGTTCTCCCTCAGGCCCTGGGACAAATGGCAAATAAGCCTACTGAGCTCGCAGAAATCGTCAGAGAGCTCATTAGGGAGGAGTTTGGGGCTGGATCTGACTCCCAAGGAGACATTAAAACAAGGGCGAGATCGAAGTCTCGTTTAGCGCGACACACCGATCAAGAGCACAAGAGAGAACCACTCTCTCGAGCAACTACGACTGTGGAGACGGTTAAAACGGCTGAAACATGGGCTATGATAATTGGAAGAAAGGCCAAGAGAGACCTTAAAAAACAGACGGTTCCGAGACCCACAGGGAAGATCTCCAGGGCCCTAATGGGTCAAAAAGCCCCCACTGAGGTCAAAAAGCCCCCACTGTGGCCAAAAAGAAGAGGCCACCGCGTACCGCGGTTGTTCAAATTGTTACAGAGGGAGACACAACATATGCGGACACCCTAAAAATGGCTAAGGAGCGCATTAGTCTGGAGGAGCTGGGAATCTCTGAGCTACGTCCACGGCATGCTAAGACTGGGGCCTTTTTGCTTGAGATTCCTGGCCTGGACAGCGCAGTGAAGGCGGAAGCGCTCGCTATAAAATTACAGGAGACCTTCGCCGAGAACGAGGAGATCAAGATCTCGCGCCCTATTAAAACGGCCGAGATTCGAATTGACAATCTGGATGACTGAATATCATCTATGGACGTACTACAGACCATAGTGATCGCAACTGGGTGCAATCATGCGGATATAAAACTGGAGCCTATCAGTAAAACCCGTAATGGACTTGGGTCTACATGGGTAAAGTGCCCAGTGGTGGCGGCTAACAAACTAATAGATAATAAGAAAATAAGAATAGGATGGACCACTGCGAAGATAACGTCGCTCCCGGATCGTGGACTACAGTGCTTCAAATGCTTGCAATTTGGACATGTAAGGGCCGAGTGCAGGAGCACCGCAGACCGTAACACTACATGCTATAGATGTGGGGAAGAAGGCCATCAGGCAAGAGAATGCACGAAGGTTGCCAAGTGTTTGGTCTGCGAGGAGGCGGGACTCCCTCACGGTCATCGAATGGGGGGCAATGCCTGCCATCCCGAGATAGGTCAAAGAAATAAGAAAAGGGTACAAAGGAACCAGCTGGCCGGAAAACAGGGGGGAAAACCCCTGGAAACTGGACCTTTCACAGAGCATACTGAGTATACTCAGAACACTCAGGAATGATATACAAGAATCACGGAGGAAAAACCAAGAAAAGAGCAACAGGGAAATATGACCGGGAAAGTGATAGTGGCAAACAGTTTCACTCCACTGGAGTCTCCTATGGAGACTGAGACGTTAAACGAGCTACATGAGACCTCGGAACTGAGCCCCACCGAATGGCCTAAAAACGACGAACCAGGAGTGACGGGCTGGAGAAGTCCGGGGAAGGAAAGTAGTCCAAAATAACGAGTTTAAATGGCCAATACCCTGTTACAAGGCAACCTAAACAGGGCCAGAAACGCTCAGGACATTTTGGCCCAAACAATGATGGAAAACGACGTTGGTCTGGCAGTAATTGCTGAGCCATACCGAATCCCGGTCCATCCCCATTGGGCGGGTGAAAGGGGATGTGGCCATCTGTTGGCGTCGGACACGCTCCCGCTGACTAGAGTTTATGCAGGTAGAGGGTTCGTTACAATTAAATGGGGGGACATGTTTGTTACCGGCGTGTACATCTCCCCGAGCCTCGCAAGGCCTGAGTTTGAGAAGATCCTAGAAGACCTAGCAAAACACCTGCAGAGCTATGTGAGCAGCCCTATGATTGTCGCGGGAGACTTTAACTTCAGATCGACTTTATGAGGTGATAGGCTCACGAACCTGAGGGGACGACTTCTTGAAGTCTGGGCTGCCAGCTTGGGTCTCTGTTGTATGAGCACGAGAATGACAAGCACGTGTGTTAGGACCACGGGCGAATCGGCCGTGGATGTCACATGGGCCTCTCCTGGTCTCGCAAGGAGGATCTCAGAATGGCGGGTGAGACAGATGGAGACCATGTCGGACCACCTGTTTATCACGGGTGGCACCCAGTTGGACACGGCTCAATTGGACATGAGCCACTCACAGCGCTTGAGACTACAAAGCTCCTAAGCACCGGTCGCTGTGATTGGTGGTGTCCAATCGAGCCGTGGTTAATCGGGATCACCCCGTTTATCACAATGGAGCTGGGACTAACAACCTCGCAAGAAAAAAGAAAAGTAATCACGGAACAGCGCTGGGCTGTTAAAAAACTAAATAAGGACATGTTCGAGGCAGCCATCATTACGAGCTCCTGGCCGACGAGCCGTCAAGCACGAAACATAGAAGACTGCGACCCAAATACTGAGGCAGACAAACTGCAAAGAATCGCAATAAATGCCTGCGATGTGGCAATGCTAAGGACTAAGACCCGACTGAGGAAGAACGTTCACTGGTGGAACAAGGAAGTATCACTTCTGAGAGAGGATGCCTCAAGAGCTCGTAGGGCAATTAAACGAGCCAGCAGAAGACGCTTAGAACCGGACGAGATTGAAGCCAGAGTAAATGAGTATAGGATGGTGAAAAAAAAGCTAAGGGCAGCAACTTACAAGGCGAAAGAACGCTCATGACGAGACCTCGTGGAATTCCTAAATGAGGACCCATGGGGGACTGCATACAAGCTGGTCCTTAATAAGTTAAGACATTCGACGATACCGATAACGGAGACACTGGATCCTCTTTTCCTGGATGAGATACTAAACACCCTCTTCCCGCCCCCTGAAGACCAAAGGGAGGAGGAATGGAGGGACAGAGAAAGCCTCCCCAGTGTGGGAAGTGAACGCTGGGTGTCAAACATGGAAGTATCCCACGAGGAGATACAACTTGCTGTGAGAAGGATGAATCAAAGAAAAGCGGCGCCTGGGCCCAGCGGGGTACCCAGTCAAGCGTGGACAATGGTGACGGATGGACTCATTGCGAGAATGAGAGGGCTTTTTACAAAATGCCTGAAGAACGGAGTCTTCCCGGAAAAATGGAAGCAAGCCAAATTAGTGTTACTACGAAAGAATAGTAAACTAGCCGATGACCCCTCGGGCTACTGGCCCATATGCCTCTTGGACGAGGAGGCGAAGATCTTTGAGCGTATCGTAGTGAGCCGCATCAATGATTACTTGGACAGTTTTGGCTTCGGCATGGGATCGCGCTTAAACGCATCTCAATTCGGTTTTCGCAAGGGTCGCAGCACTACAGGTGCTATCATAAACGTGCGAAAATTTACCGAGCATTACATCGATACCACGGAAGGGGTTGTGGTTGGGGTATTGATTGACATCTCAAATGAATTTAAGTCCCTCCCGTGGAATGGGATTGGAAAGGCGCTCTCGTCGGTCAAGATTCCCTATTATATCCGGAGAGTATTGCGAGCATACCTCTCGAACAGATACGGACAAAAGGGGAGAGACCCAAATTAGAAGGGTCGAGCGTGGAGTGCCGCAAGGCTCGGTTTTGGGCCCATATTTATGGACACTGGGTTTCAACGAAGTGTTGAGAAACGTTGACCTCCCGGAGGACTGTGGAATTACCGCTTACGCGAATGACACGTTTGTCTTGGCAGGGGGGCAAGACTGGCAAGAAGCATTGCTCAAAGCCAACAAGGCAGTTGCCAACGTGGTCTTCCACATCAAGTCACTAGGTTTGAGCATTTCAGCTGGGAAGTCTGAGGCAATCTACTTCCGAGGGAGTAAAAGACGATGCCCGCCAGCGAAGTCCGTCGTGAGGGTGGATAACTCGGACATTGCTTTAAAGGATATCCTCAAGTACCTGGGAGTGATCATGGATAGCCGATGGACCTATGAGCGACACTTACGGGTGCTAAGGGAGAGACTATTGCGAACAGCAGGCAACCTGGCAAAAATACTGCCAAATATTGGGGGGCCAGACCCAGGGTCAGGCGATTGCACGCCACGGTGCTAGACTCAATGGCACTGTACGCGGCTTCTGTATGGGTGGATAAAGCGGAAAAAAATAGGCTCATACATCGCCAACTGCAACAGGCCCAACGTAGAATCGCCTGTAGAACGATAAGGGGATTCAGAACGGTAAGTTTCGCTACCGCGACTATACTAGCTGGAGCACCGCCTCTACTCTTAAAAGCGCAAATGTATGCGAATGTGTACGAGGCTAAGCAGGAGCTCCGCTCCCAAGGAATGAAGCAGATTCCCTCTAGTATGTCGGAACCAGTACGATCTAGGGGGAAAAATAGGATGTTTCGCAACTGGGAAAAGTGGATCAGAAGACCTGGTCAATCGGGAGGGGAGGTGGGGATTGCACTCCGATCCCATCTCCAAAAATGGGCTGAAAATAAGATTGGCCTCACATATCGGTGCATCCAGTTATTAACAGGCCATGGGTGCTTTGGGCAATATCTACACAAGATCAAGGAGGAATCCGCCAGGTGCTGGCACTGCCCGGCCAGACTGGACACGGCACAGCACGTGGGAGGAGTGCCCGGCCTGGGAGCAGAACAGAAGGGAGCTGGTCAGGGACATCGGAAACGA